CAGCAGCAATCAAAACCTCTGTCTCAAAAAAGCAAACAGTAGGAGTGTTTTAACTCCATAGGCAAGCTGTGTGTTCCACAGCACATGCCTGCTTAATTGGGGTGATACTAGTTAAAGAAAAAATGAGAGGGCTTTACAAATGTTTTCCAGACTAAGGCAGGATTATACTTTATGGATTTAATGTTCTTTAAATACAGTTCCCTTACCAAATTGTGTGGATTAGCAATTAATTTAAGTTCACCTTCCTGGCTTAGGTGAGGGAGGTAGATGACAGGGAAGTCATGTCATAGTGAATTGGAAGCAATGAGCTCAAGTGCAAGTGAAGTATCATCAAATCCTAGAGTGGGTTGGGTTGGAAGGGGCCCTAAAGATTATCTTGTTTCCTTGCCCTGTCATGGACAGGGACACCTTCCACTAGCCCAGGTTGCGCAGAGCTCCATCCAGCCTGGCCTTGAACACTTCCAGGGATGGGACAGCCACGGTGTCTCTGGGCAACCTGTGCCAGGGCCTCACCACCCTCACAGGGAAGAATTTCTTCCTCATACCTAATCCAAACCTGTTCTCCATGAGTGTGAAACCATATCCCTCTTGTCCTGTCACTACAAACTCTTCTCAAAAGTCCCTTTCCAGTTCTCTTGTAGCCCCTTTAGGTACTGGAAGGTGCTCTGAGGTGTCCATGGAGCCTTCTCCAGGCTGAACAACCCTAATTCTATATGCAAATACATTCTGTTGTTTTCTAATTTACACATTTTCTAATGCCTTCCAAGTTCTGGAAGGGTTGCTGTTTATGTTTTGATGAGCTGCAAAGTATCAGTGATTTTGATGTCATAGGAATGTCACTTTACAGAGAATTTTCTTATTTTGCCACAATTTCTCAGCCATTGATTTGCCATAATGGTTGTCTGTGCAAACCAGTCTTCTCTTCCACTCAGCACTTTCTTCAACAGTGTAATGGTCACTGGCAGGAAAATACTGTTGTGATTATAAATGCAAGATTTTCTGTGCCATTTGTCACATTCATGGAGATTACAGGAGGGAAAAGATATGAGGGTCTAATTCCAAGTTGTTGTTTGATTTGGCAGAACCCTAAGAAATCCAGTGCCACAGAGAAAATACCTTGTTACCACTGTGGCCTGACTTATCCTCAGTTCCAGTTCTTGGGTGGGAGCATCATTTGTTTGGAACAATTTTTTGGGAACTCACTTATTTTCTCACTTATTTCCTTGTTGTTTGTGACCTGCTACCTCTGCTCTCGTGCCCAGCCTGGGGCTGCTAAGGACCCTGCCACATCTCCACTCATTTCTCATTATCGTCTCCTTTTCCAAGACTATCACCAGTTGCACCAACTATATTTATTATGCCTTTTTACTTTTTTTTTTTTACTGCGGTTGCTATTACCTGCAAAAGTAAAAATAAATAATAATTTTTAATAATTAACAAAAATCACTTGATTGCTTTTTCATCCTGCTTCCTCCAAAGACTGTGCACCAGTAGCTTTATTTAAATTTTATTATTTCGAAGGTAAGTCCCCTTTGTGCTGAAGCCATTATGCCTTGTATAACCCCTTCATTCACAGAGGCTACAAGAAAGCCAGGAAATGGTTTCCCTGTTTGAAGTGACTTTTCCCGATAACCTCGCATTCCACCCCTGAGCCCAATGCAGGGCGATGTGATGGAAACAGCAGCAGCTTTTCTCCTTTTGCTGCTGTTTGTGAGCACATGTTTCTTTTACATATGACTTTTTTCTTCTGTAATCTCTCTTGTAATGTCTTTGCCGTTTGACCTGCAGCGCTGGGATCAGAAACTCCGCCACCTTGGGAAGGGGAAGGCAGAGCCCGGACACAGCGACTCTGCTCCGAAGCCCGGCAAAGCCAGCAGTGCCCGACAAACACGCAGTTAGATGTGGGATGCTGTGCGGTGACACGCAGGGGACTATCTTCCAAGACTTCACTGTTGGAGCAGCAAAGGAGAAATTGCACTATTGCACGTTATATTCTATTGTTTACTACAAAATAATGTTTTAGCTTATATTAGTTTTTATTCTCCCTCTTGTTTTCTGCCTTTTTTTTTTTTTTTTTGGATATGTGAAAGCTCTGGAAATATTTTTTTTTTCTGTTACTAAGGACTGTAGAAAACTGCCCTTATGAGATGGAGAAAGACAAGGACATGTTACATTTATCTTTTTATCTCCTAAATACTTTTTAGGGAGAAAATTCTGATGCAAGGAATGAGATCTGGCAAAGACCATCGCTCAAGTCGTGACTCACACTGGCTTCCCCCATTCACTCTTTCTTGATCACTGTTTGCTGAAACTTACTGTGTTGGGGGTAGGTTGTTACCTGATTTTAAGGGCATAATTTTTTATTCTGAAACATAATTCTGAAATATATAAACAAACTGTGTTAAGAGAACTGTTTTGATCAGTACAGCTTTGTTAAGTTTTCTTATAAATAAACCACTGTGTAAGCCGAAGTCTAACTTAAAATATTTCCTGCAACAAACATGGTGTGCATGTACACAGGGGACCTGGGTTTTCCAGTGCTCTGGACCTTGCAGGAAAGGTGGTCTAGTTCTGTAACCATAATTTATAATATGCCTTCTTCTCTTATAATGGCAGTTTTTTCCCCCTTCTGTTTTCTCAGCTGTAGGAGTAGACAGAGTTACCAGGCCTGGTTCTCAGCACAGGTCTGCACTTTATCAGTTTGATTTTGTGGTGTTATTCTTAAATCCATGCCTACATAAACAAGTGTTCAGTACTCAGTAACATATGTCCTATAAAAGAATTATAGTTGCCAGCACAGATCTTACCTGACTTTGGAACCAACATCATAATTTTTGTATTGCCCTTGAAAATATAAAAAGCAAAAAAAAAATCTTTTTTGTGCTTTAATAGAATTCTTTGGAGATAGTGCCAACATATTTGAAATTATCTTCTGTTTTCCTATTCTCCCATGACCAAAAGAAACTAAAATGAGGTAAATCAAAGAACAGTCTTCTTTGCTGTAGTCTGCAGAGGGGAGCTGAAAGTGCAAATGGCTATTGTTTTCTAGCTGTCGGTATTGTCTTTACTGGATTAGGGCTGCCTTTCAGTAAGAAAATAGTGTTGAAAATAGGTGATTTGAAATATGATGATGATAAGTAAGCACAGAAATATTGGGGAATATTTATAATAATGCTGGTTTAAGATTTCACTTAATAATCAGAGGTCTCAGGACAAGTTTTCCATCGGACTGGATACTAAGCAAGTTGCAACATAGAACAGTTTACTGCAACACTCAGGCTTTTATTTTTAATTAAAAGTAAAGGAGTAATTTAGGGGGAAGTTTGGCTCTGTAAACTGGAAGCAGGATATTAATCCTAGGTTGGAAAAGACCTCCGAGATCATCAAGTCCAACCTTCGACTAATCTCTATCTTGTCAACTAGACTAGAGCACTAAGTATCGTGTCCAATCTTTTCTTGAACACCTCCAGGGATGGTGATTCCAACAAGCATTTCTCCTGAGCTGGCAAATAACTGAACAGCTTGTGGATAGCTTGTTTAATAATGTTTAAAACTCATTATTTAACCTAAAGCACCCACTGAAGTCACACAGATCAGGGCTGGAACTGCAGGGTCTGCAGCCACCACTGACCCCACCATGTTCTGTTACAAAGAGAATGATGAAACCATAAAACTCTTTAAGATGTAGAAAATCCCCAGACAGCTGGGAGTTTATCCTTTTCCAACCACCACTTCTGAAGATGGGATCTCTCATAGCATCTCTCCACCTTTATTTAATCCACTGGCAAACCCAACACTGACATTGCTCCCATTAAAAATCCCAGGAGCACAGCACATCACTGCACTTTAACCTCATAGAAAAACAAGCACCATTTGTAACAGTCACACGTCATGATGTTATACTGAAAATATTTCTGTAATTGCAAGCCACCGAATTGCTGTTTTTCCAGAGGAATACGCATTTTTCACTAACACATGAAAAACGAGGGCGGTATGATGGGCTTCTCAGAAGAGGCAGGAGGCATTTTTCACAATCCCTTAATTAACTCAGGAGCCTAAAGGGCTTTTTTACGTGTTCCAACACTGCTTTTACGCCATTACAGTGGTTTCAGTGACAGAACTTCTGCAGCTTGTGCCGATACAAACTACAAATGATCAATGAAAGACAGATTGCACAAGATCAATTATTTCAATGATTTTTAGCACTATGTCCCCCTCGTCTGTTCTGTCTTGGGGCCTGGGGCACACCAAAATGCTTTGTTACTCTAAAACTGCATTTACTGCTTTAACACATCTATGAGGGCTTTGTGACAAGCTAGACTACTCTTGGTGTTTTAAATGATGTTATTTAAATTATGATCCTATAAGTTTAACGTAATTGTATATTACTTTCTTGCTTTTTCCTGGGAAATCCTTTTCTGCCCTCTTTTTTGTGTATTTTTCATGTGACCCTAGATTAAACCTTCACAAATGCACTATATAGCATGTTCTGCATGAGTGTGCAGCCCTCAGCACAGTATTCTCAAACATATCCTCTTGGAATGTGATGTTGTCTCCATTTGTAATGTTTTTTGTTCCTCTACTTCTATTAATTTACATAGACACAAAGTCAAGTACATTCCTAAAGTCTGCGTTGTCCAAAATCATTCGTACTGCAAAGGGAAATGTGTCGGCCATGAGGTTGGTCTGATGCAAGAGCCCCCAGGAACCATCATATGGGTTCAGCAATGGGAAAAGTACAGTGTGAGGGGCAAAAAAACCCAAACCAATGGATTTTAAAACTGAAGTTTGACAGTTTGCTGCAGGGGACGTGCACTCAGGCTGCTCGCCTGGCTGAGCTGTGGGCCCGGCACTGGTTCTGCTCCCTTTGCCCTCAGGGCAGCCATTTTACCTTGTTTTACCTCAGCACTTTGGAGCCGGTCCCAGCTTGTCTCTGTCCTGCTCCTGGCTCTCCCACCCACTTAGGGAGCGGGAAAAGCTCTTGCCCACGTCCTCAGAGCTGTGACCACAGCCCCTCAGCCCTCCTGAGGGGATACACCCGGGATACAGAGGGCCCCGCTGCCATTGCCTGCTGTGTGGAAGGCACTCACTGCACAGGCTGCCTTAGACCTGCACAAGGACTTTCAGAGAGGAAGCTGAATTAGAAGAGTAAGAATGATTTAAACAACAAAGCTGTTCCCATTTGAAGACACTGCTGTGGTGTATTTTGGACACTGGAGCTTGGTACTTCCCATTCATGCTACCCTGCCATGTTTTCCAGCTACCCTGCCAGCATACAGATCTCTGCCTGTGGTGGTCACAGTAAGTACAGCAAGGTGAGCATCATCACTAAAGCAGCAAGTCCTGTGAAACCCATTGACAACCCTATTTAATTATTGGGCTTTGGACTTGTTTAGTTTCAGAACTAGTTTGTTTGGAGGCAGCACTAAAAGCCTGGAAAAGAAAGGCAAACAGAACAGCATGTGACAGGCAGCTTGTTAATGGTGTACACCGTGGTTATTTACTGGGTGATGCACATACCTATGTATGCACATGTATCCTAGTGTCATGGGATGGATAGAAGGATTGATTAAAACCATGCCTTTCCCATAGCTGGGTTAGATTAGTCCAGAGAGAAAATATGCAGCTTAAAATCTCTGTGGATAATTAGCCTGACATGTTGCTTATCAGAAGGCACCCTTCCCTGGTGCAGCTTGGCAGATGAGGAGACAGGAGGAATAAACACCCAAGTTGCTTATTCACAAGCAATGTCTCTGGTTTCTGACAGGGGTTGACTCATGGCTTTAATAAATCTCCAGACATGTTAGCAAGGGCATGAAAATTACAGAGCTTGATTTCAGCCTCAGAATTATCATTTGTGTGTATGCTTCCTTCTGTTGAAACCAGTAATTATCAGGATCTATAGGGTGAGAACAACTTTCACATTGATGCCAATGAGAAGAGCACAGTTTGGTTGATCAGGGTTCCAGGGCGGGGGTCAGTGCCAGTAGCAGTAGGCAACTGGAGGGGCTCCTGCTTTCAGAAAGCCTTTGTTTGGAGGAAAATGCAAAATCGAGATCCTCAGGGGGTGTGGCGGTGGTGGGTGAGGTGTCAGCATTTTAAAAACAGAGTAAGATATCAAACACACTATATAAAACGACTCAGCTGGAATCAGGGTTTGCCTTTTTTGTAATGTATCAAATCTGAGAGAAGTATCAGTCAAGCTTAATATCAAAGATGGGATGAACTATGTCTAGTATGGGCAAATCCAGTGCTGCTGGGAAGTGCTGTGAGGGTCCCCAGCTTTGGGGGAGTGGCAGTGCCCTTGTCTGCTTCTGCTGCACTCTGCTGCTATTCCAAAATCCATACCTTGAAGGGTTCGTGTACTATAAATTAGGCAGTAAAGTCAATGGGATAGTAAGAATGAATGAACAAATGAACATTATGTGCTAGGGAAGTAATGCAGTTGGCAAGGCTTAAATCCAGCTGTGCAGGAGAGATTTACTGGCTGCTATTGCTTGTATTCCCTCACATGAAATAACCCCAATCCTATACCAGCTGGTTGTGTCTGCTCATAGTGTAGTCCCGATAGTTTACAGAACATTTGGAATTGGGACCCCTGACTTGCATCCCCACTCCCTGGCACACTGGACTTAAAATGAAAAAAAAATTGTCCTTTGCTTCATCTGTCAGACAGTCCAGCAACTCCCTGTCCTTCAGGAGAGAGCTTAATAAGTCCTTCTGTCATCCATGGAAAGGGATTTTCATTCCCTCCATAACATGGTACAGGATATTTGATACTTATTCACTTTGATCAGTGGTGTTGGAGCACTGGAGCAGGCTCAGGTGCTGATTGCTCTCTTGATGCAGATGAGCCATTTCCTGAGGAGAAACAGCAGAGCCCTATGCATAAGATGCATTCCTGACTGGTCCCACACCATGGCATTAGGGAGGGTGACACCAAAACACAGTGTGCCCAAAATGTTGTCTGCGATTCCATCATCTGCAGTGTCACTGACAGCACCACTAACACCGAGATGAGCAGCAAAAGTTCTTGGGCTTGACCCTCTTTGTCAAACTGTTCTTGTTCTCTGTATTTTGGGGGAAGAAGGGGAAAAAAAGAAGTTTTGTTCCCAGTAGGGTTCTGGGGCAAGATGTATTTGCCCGTCCCTCTGACCTGTCACCCTGGAGATTGCAGCCTACACCCCTGAGCACTGGGTTAATTAGTGCCTGGCTCTTCCCACACTTCCTGACCTCTGGAGAGCATCAGCCCATGTTCCAAACCTGGAGCTGCCTCACATGATGCAGTACACCCTCAATTTTTCAGGAGAAACGTGTACAGATACAGAATTACCTGAAGCCACCTTAGAAGCAGCAGCTGTTTTGGTGGGCAGCTTTTCTTTGGTTACAAAATAGGGCAGATGTAGGAAATCCTCAGGATGAATTGCTCTCTCAGGAATTCACTACAAACAAGCCTTGGTTATGCAGGGAAACCCAGGGGAAAGACCCTATATCAGAAACGACTGAGCCCGCTGCTGCCATCCCAGGTTGGGTGTGGCAAACCATGTCACCACTGCCTTCACAGTGCTCTAAATGCCTACATGAAGCCCAGCTAAGATTTGTCATGCAGGAGAGATTATTGGCTCGGAAATAATCCCCCGCTGGCCGGTGGGTGCTCTGGGCCCCTCACACACTGCAGGGCTCAGAGGCTTTAATGAGGGATGACGAAGGGAGACAGAGGAGGGATAGAAAAAGGATGTCAGGATGAAAGCAGCGAAAAGAAACTACTTGTGGCTCTGCCCTGTGCACCTGTGCCAGGTGGGGAATTGTGAAAAGCACAGATGAAGTCATGTGTTACTGTATAACTGTTACTGGATAACAGCATCTGACTGTCACAGGTGAATAGTGGGGCTGAATGCACGTGTCACCAACAGCTCTAATAGCATGGCTTCCTAAATGTTGAGTGTTTAACACAGTAAATCTGACCTTCCCATAATAAAGATTTGTGTGTGGTTATCTAGGGTTTGAAATAGGACACCTGAAGAGATTTTGATCACTTTATCCTATATGGTCCATTGGGAAAATTGAATATCTTTGTCCTCCATATGGACCTGTTTCCGTTCCAGGTTGTGTGGCTCCTTCTGGCCCTCTCTTTGCATTGCTGAGATAGGCAAATCTACACCACCTTTTTTTTTTTTTTTGGTCTCAGACTGAATATCCAAAAGTGGACATTGTTCACCAGGTCTTACATTCATAATCCCAGTCGTTCCAGTGTTTCCCTCTAGGAGGTTTGTCAAAATGACAAATGCTCCAGTCTCCATTGCCCCAGGAACTTCACAGAGAGGCTCATAGTCCCTCTGCTCCCTGCTGCTGGTGGTGTTTTCCTTCTGCCCTGGCCTCATGGAGCCTTTACCCCAGTGCCCTCACTCTGACATACCATCTGAAATTTCCTGAAGGCCTCCTTTCTGCTATGAGCTTCCCTCCTGTTTGACACTGGATGCTGGTCTTGCTTTTCTCCTTGCAGCTCTCCCTTTCTGCTTTCTTGTGGCTTTCTGCTCCTCTGTGCCCTGTTTCCTGGCTGCTTATCTCCCTTTCTTCCGCTCATTGTTCCTGCAGCTGGAGCCAAGTCTCCTGCCACTGGCAGGGCGTCTGCTTCCTCCCATTGCCTCACATCCCCTTTCAAGAGGGTCTGTGGATTATCAGTTACAGGGAAATTTGCCCAATCTTTGTAGAATTTAAACTGAAATGCACAAGAGTTCTTGGTACATTGCTGACCCTGTGGCAGCCCTCCTGATTTAACATCAAATTTCTCCCACCATCCCAGAGTGCCAAGAAATGAAAGTGCTGGAGATGCTGAAAGGTCTGGCTTCTCCTTGCCTATGTGGGTGGACAAAGTATTCTTCCCTAGCTTTGCCCCTGCAAACAACTCGTGTCTGAAACCAGAGCAGAACAAAACAACTGCAGTCCCCAAATGGCTGATATTTAATACTTCAAGCGGTGCAACTATTCAGTTCCTAAATATTTCATCTCAGGACTTATGGATTGGCAATGGAGAGCTCTGTGTTATTAAGAGAAGTATTGGGCAGCCTTAAATCTTACGGTTTGAGGAGCTCTTTGGCTGACATTGAAGTATGGGTAACTCGTTGCCCAACGTGGACAGGTTCTTCTTGAGCACAAAACACAGCACAGGACGTTCTTAACACACTACTTGAGGAAAAGCAGGAAAATGAAAAAGAAAAGATATGTTAGCGCTTGCCAGCTGCATCTCAGTCCACTGTTTTAGCACATTTCTTCTTTTGAGAGGCTGAAAAGGGGTGGGCATCTGGAAGGGGAGGCCAGAAAAGAGGATGGGAGGCTGAAGAGATGTGGAAGGCTGGAGGGCAGATAGAGGCCAGAAAACAGTGGAGGCTGAAACTGAGTGGGGAGGTGTCTCAGTCTGAAGAGACTGGGATGTTTGCTAAAGAGGATGAGTTATAAGGTAGACCAAACTCCTCTCTCTCAGCAATTGTAAATTCAAAATTAAGGGGCTTTAATTGAAGAAGTGTGGAAAAAAACAAAAGAAATAACAACCCTTTATTAAAAGATATATGTATGTTGGCAAAAAAGGTAACACAAAAAAACTAGACAGTAGTCCTAGAAAAAAAAGAAAGAGGTCTGAATGAAATACTTCTCTGTCCTTTAGCGCAGTCCTAATCGTGTCCTGCAGGGGGCGCTGTTGGATCGCTGAAAGTGCAGGGCCTGCAGTTCTCCGTCGTGTCCTGCAGGGGGCGCTGTTGGGCTCAGGCGGTCAACACGTGGGGAGAGGGGTCCGTGGGGGCGGTCCCGGACTGCGGGAGAAGCCAAGAAAGAAATGGGGGACCCTTCCCTCAGTGGGAGGGAAAAAAGGGAAGGTTAGCAGTCCACTGCCACGGGACTCACCGCTGTCCCAGGTGACGCCGTCTCAAAACTCCTCCCTTCTCTCCCGCGGGCACGCGATTCTCCGATGAAACACAGGAGATCCGGGGAGCGGGACAGCCAGGCAAGTCGAAGCCAGCAGTCCGAGCTGACCAGGATGAGAAGCCAAAAACCCGATCCCCCAGTCCCTCTCCCCAAATGCCTGCACGCAGACCTCCGTCTCCCTCCTAGCGCCAACCCCGCAGTCTGCCTCTCTCCTCTCCTATCGGAGCCAGCCACCCCCCAGTCTCTGATGGGCCATTACCGAGGAATGTAACTTGACTGGGTACATCTTTTGTAAAGCTAATGACCTCCCTTCCCCCCCCCCCCCTCCGTTTTTCCTTAGAGTGGAGCAGGGGAAGAAAAATTCTCCTGAATTTCTAACCTAT